TCATGTACGTTGGGAGCTGAAATGACCTAGCTGTCGGCAGCCCCTGAAGCCCAACCTCGGCGGCTAGCTGAATCAGACCTCAAACCGGACTGCCAACACCATCACCTGTGTAGGCCAACTTGGTAATTTCACCAACTCAATCAGATTTGAAATGCCAAACCCTTTACTCTCCCACTCACTCTTAAATACATTCTTTCTTATTTAGATAGCATTCAATCAGTTAGGGAGGTGGAGTATTCGGCATTCCTCCATCACCCTTTTCACCTAGTAATAACTAACCTAATTGAGGATCGATGATGTACTTCCGCCATCGAACCTTTCCTACTACACATTCTCGCCAATAAATATATCTATTCTCAACTAATGCTAGATACATAAAACTATCATTACTGTACACAATAAAACAATCATATTTTCTCCAAGAATCACAAGTGGGCCAAGATTCTCACTCAAGGACAATTTTCATGTCGGGTGGCATTCTTATCCATCGAGCAGCCTTTCTTTACTTGCCGGACACATTCGCGGGCTTTGGCCCAAAAGTAAGTAACCCGTGTCAACCAGGCATGGCCTATTCTTAATTGGATGAGGATGACTTTTCTTCTAGGAATGAGATCCTCCGATGGCCATCCATCAACATTGATCTTGATTCCGCTAATCCGGTCCAACGTTTTACTCAGAAAATATTGTATTAAATAATATTTTATTATTAGCATAAATGCGGATTGAATTTTAAACATGTACTTCTATGAAGGTCAGTAGAGAAAGGCCAAGTTTTTTGGAGGCCATTAATGGGAAAATATGCTAAATAATTAAGACATTATTATTTTAGAGTTTAAAAAATTGGGTAATTTCACAGTGTTGAATAGTTTATGAAGGTTTAGAAGAACGTAGATATTTGATATTGCCATATTTTTACTAGGGCAGTAGGAAAAAAAGGGATTCTTTGCTTGCAAGGATGAGTAATTTGCGAAAGTAGTAAGCGAATGGACACAACCCAAAACGGATAGATTTTTAGGTTCATTTGTTTAAGTTAATGAGGAGTCACAAATTCTACATACTGGTAGGGTCACTTCCTGTGTTCGATCAAATATTAGCGACAATAATCAACGCTCGATAAATCCATAAAACCTGGGTTACTTCATTTTATTATACAGTATAATAGTTTAAAAGATGATATTTAGTCTAGAAAGCCATTCTGCTCTTGTAATTAGAACCTACAACTGGTTAATTATTTTCATTTTGTACTTTGAATCTAGATTAAAATATACCACGTTCGTTTTAGCCACGGATGGCCATTAAGAGGTTTGGATAAAATTTGCCTCGAATAAACGCGTAGCACTAAACCTCGGGCGATGTAACAATAACTCAAGGAAATTCTATTGTCCAATCCAATTTAACTTCAAACACGTATTAACAGAACCGGTTTACCTAAAACCCACAAAATCACGATCGTACAACAAAGTATGTGTTTTCGCCTGACCCTGCCTCGATTTAACGAAAATCTAGAGATCTCCATGACACCCAAAAATATAAATATATATCACATAAATTAAACACATTTCTCTCGTCCGATAACTTCAAAATAGCTTTCAAAAATTATAAAACAATTTAAACACTTTTTTTCCAAAATTAAAGATCCCACACCAATAACAAATAAATCTAACGTAATCTACAAGATCAACTGTTTAAACTATCCGGCAACTTACATCGGTCTTACATCCAAATATCTGGATAAGAGAGCAAAGCAACATATCTATGATTGCAAAAAACCCAAGCAAAATCCTACAGCACTCGCTACCCACCATTTTGAACACAAACACAATTTCGACTTCAACAGTCCAAAAATATTACACACAGAACAAAACAAACATAAACGTAATTTTTTAGAAATGGTTTATATCAACAGAGATAAACTCAGCATCAATTACAGAACAGATACATGTAAACCCAGTCGCAGCTAAGCCAATATCATTAATCAAATTCAATACAAATGACATACCTGTATCATCACATTACATTCCACACATCAAATATTTTTCACATAGTCTAATTTCCCAACAATTTAGCTTTCCTTTTCCTATTTATCCCTTTCTATATAATCCTGAAAGGATAATCTGGCCGAACCATTGCCAACACATTGTTTCCTTTCGCCGGCTCTTTTCATCTCAAAGAAGCCGATGCCTTATACAAAAATTTCTTTTCTATACCGATTTCCATCCCCACCCCTTCAAAATCCAACGTATATAAACTCAAAATAGCAAAATCTCACTGGCACTCTCGACACGACACGCAAGGATGATACAATTGCACAGAAGACAAACACTTTGAGTGAGTAGAAATACTCTGATTGAATATATAAATATATTTTGCATTGAATAAATTCACTTTTCCACATCCAAAATGTAATTGTAATATGTAAACAATGTTTGTAAATCCCAGGCCCTGAAGATGATCTCAATAAAGATCGAAACTTTGGCACGATAAAGAAAATGTTTTTCTGATACCTACATCACACCAGACCGCATCTCACGATTTCTGAATAATTATAAATATATACCGAACCATCACTACAGTAATTGTTAGTAATTAATAACTTACTGTAGGAGTAATTATATAGAAATTGAAAAATAAAACTTTTTTACTACCACAATGAATTAACTAACAATTTTGTTTAATATAAAAATAATGTCAAAGTTATAATCTACAAAATATTTTACTATTTAAATTATTATTTTCCTCACTCTTTAAAAAAAATAGAAATGAAAAGTTATTAATTCAGGATAGCTATAATTGGAGACGTATATCCGAAAGTCAAGTTTCACAACAACGAAAACGCGATAAGCTAGACTAATGATAGGTCAGAAATGTTCTAAATATTTAGCATTTTTCTTTGAAATTCTATTGTTTTTCTTTTTTTAATATTGTCACTTTTGCAAACAGTTTCATTTCCTAGTGAATCGGCTTTATATGGCTTTTGTTTGATATTAACGACACACCTATTCCAGCAATGCAGTAATACCAAGGAGATGTTTGTTTCCATGAGTTACCATCATTTTCTTTAAATTTTACCTCTCTGCCGTGGAAAAATAAAATAAATAAATAAATTTCCCATAATCTTTCAATTTTTTAATTTGTTTTTCTTTAGAAGTTTATTCTTTTTACTGTTCGTCAATGTTTATAGTTTTTAACATTCCACTTGCAGTGCACTTAACAATCTGTACAATTAATTTTTCTTTTTGTGTAAGGTCTTGATTGAGATGAAAAAGTTAGTGCCACGAGCGGGATTCGAACCTGCGACCTTTGGCTCAGCACGCCTCATACGAAGTCATGATAGCTCAAGCGGTTAGAGGAGCGGCGTATTGAGCCGAAGGTCGTGGGTTCGAACCCCGCTCGTGACACTGAGTTTTTCATCTCAACCAAGGCCTTACATAAAAAGAATAATTAACTGAAAGAAAAAATTTGGTCAATTAGGCCACTAAACATAATGAATCCTTCCAATCTTACATTACAGAAATGTTTTATTTATTTATTTTTTAAAGATTTAGGTGTTAAGATCTTTTTTCCGATAATGTTTGAAAAATCTACGAAATGTTTTGGTTGTGAAATGCCGTTGAAGATAAAGTACCCAGCAGTGTTGACGACTGGCTAATGCCCCTCCATGATCCAGGGGATTACCGTGATCTTTGACCGTGTTAACAACAACATCCCAATACGAATTTCCGCTTTTTAATAGTTCAAAATCGCCGATTCGTCGCTTGACCAAGAATGGGCAAAAGATTTGATTACACAACTGATTTGATTTGTGAATCAATTTCAAAGGAAATATTGTTTACCATTATGTTTTAAACGTAATTGATTTTCGTTTAGTTATTTGTTGTAGATATCATGTTGAAGTTTTCAGGGGTGGTGAAACTGTTGATTGGTCGTTTCCGGCCATCCAGGTCTGCCTTTTCTTGCTGTTTTGGTCTGTCAAGCACAATTGCCATAACATAAGACATCTTCAGTCCTACATTTGCTTGACTTTCACCACACCCTCTAAAAATATGCTTAAAACAGAGATCGGCTCAACTATTGAATTAGTGAAAGGTTCCGAAACAGCGAGAATAGACGGACCATGATGATCAGGGATGATAAACCGCGTGCATATATACGAAAAAATATAAACCAGTCGAATATCTTGACTAATTTTAAACTAGTTACAGACGTTTATGTTCCGTACATTTTTATAAGTTAATGTCATGTCTCGGGGTAAAACGTACTTAATAACACACATTAGTCAAGCAATCATCAAATTATGAAGTTTGTTGTTTATATTACCCATAATATACAATAATATAAGCTTCTGCTGAAGTCAGAGAATGTAGTTCGTGCATATCGACAGATCGCCAATTGCTTCATGTTTTTTTCTTAGAGGACAAGAGAAGAAAAAGGTCATACACAACATACTAAGAATAAGCTTTACGCGACCTACTTTTTGGCCAGCCCGCGTATGTGATTTAATGTAGGCAATGCTACCCTATCTAAAAACGTACTTGATAGTACATCAGCGAGTTTTTGTATCATATGGGGGGGTCTTCAATTTAGTTACATAAAATGCATAGTTTATTTTATATAATAATGTATTTATTAGCATGAATGTAGAGGGCGGACGTGTAACATTAAGAACTTCATCGACAGAATAGTATGGTATAGGGTAATGAAGTAATAAATATAAAGCATTCCAATTAAGTTCTCCAAAAAGCTTGGAGAAGTGTAATGCCCACGCTAACTTTGTTGTCTATGTTTACTCGTTTAAAAAATTAATGCTCAAAAATTAAATAAAATTAGTCTGAAATAAATGTTGTTATGTGGTCTTCGTATGACTTTGAGAAAGAAACTTGACGTCATTTATCGATATATTGATGATTGATTCGATTCTCCTGGTTTATACCAGTCGGATAAATGAATTTCAGACTGTACCGGGAAAATAAATAAATAATTGATACCAATGATTAACTTACGTTACAATAGCTGCCAACAGAGCTGCCCCTGAAACAAAACAGAAATGGAATCATTATTGAAAACTTCTGTGCAAACCTTTCCTGCTGTAATATTCTAATTACGATAATGAGCTCTATTTCCTCTCTTTTTTCATTGTCAGTTTTTGTTTTGTAGTCGGATATCTCCACAGTCCTAATTTTGAAGAGTTGCGGTTCCCCACTCGATTATGCACTTTTTCCATTACCTAATTAAACTTCCTCTTTTAAAAAAAAACGCTCCGAATTGTAACTTTCCTTGGATATTATTTTTTGTTTTTCCCTTAATCCTCAAATTCCCCTCGGGCAGACGTTAACTAGACGCTAATGCCGGCCGTGTTGAGGAGTTCTCCAAGTTCTTCCTCTTTTAAGCCCCTAAACTTTGTTTTGGCTTTCCTTTACAAAATTATTTATCATATTACATATAACGGAAAGTTAACAATAAATTAAACTTTCCTTGTTAAATGTGTACTACAGGTTATTTAATTACACTTTTTAACACGAAGAATTTATTTTCACTCCTGCGGCACTGATAAGTGTTGGTTACGTGTATTTCTAGTATTTCTAAACCTTGTTAAAAGTATAAAATCAGTAGAAACTTGCATTCCAGATAAAATGGCAGTTAAATCATGATGATGAGGAAACCTGGGTTACTGGATTATATGGATGGCCAGTGCGTCAGGTGTTGAGGCCATGAAGGGTTAAAGTTGACACAAGCAAGGAAAGGAGTTATAGATCGGAATTATCGGATCCTAGATATTTATCAAAGATAGTCGTTAAAGAGAAATTCATGTGTAACGTATCCCCTAACTACCGAGCACAGTCGTGAAGAGAATAATATAATTGTTCTTCAGGTTGAACAGACAGTGAGTCACTCATTGGGCCTGTCTTCAGTCGCGGGTTTGTTGAACTCAAACGCGTTTCGACAATGCAGTGAGGAACTGCCACTTTGTCTGACTGGGCTTTGTAAGTCGTCGATAGTCGCTAGGGGCATTCCGGTAGGGGGTCATGGTGTTCGTTGGTCGGGCGTGATGTCTGATATTTCCATTTTTATTATTTGTGTGAAGATAGTTTTTTTTACATTTGTTTCGGTGTTGTTTTCTTCTGAACTTTTGCGTTTTGGCTATGTAGTGTTTTTAGTGGTGAAAGCTGATCCATATGAATTTGTTTGTACATTTTTAGTTTTATTTGTTTGTACATATCTAGATTCTCAAGTACTTGATTATTCAGAAATCGTGAGATGCGGTCTGGTGTGATGTAGGTTTCAGAAGTACACGTTCTTTATCGTACCAACGTTTCGATCTTTATTGAAATCATCTTCAGGGCCTGGAATTTACATTGTTTAAATTTAACAAAAACATGTAGGATGTGGAAAAAAGTGAATTTATTCAATGAAAATAAACTTTTTTTGATATACTCAATCAAAAAAATTGTATATCCCAGGCCCTGATGATGATTTCAATGAAGATCGAAACGTTGGCACGATAAAGAAAATGATTTTCTGAAACCTACATCACACCAGGCCGCATCTCACGATTTCTGAATAATCATCGACAAACGGTTACTAATCACCACACAATTCTCCAATACGTTGAGTTTTTATCTTTTTCTTCATGCTTTTTATATTGTGTTTGGTTCATGATTATGATATATTAGGTGGTTCAGCACGATTTCAAAGAATCGCAGACCAAAATGTAGCATCAAAATTGTTGCTGTTGCTTGGCAAGATATTGTTGACCGATGTAATAAAAATCTCCCATTTATTTTCATACTCCAGTTCTTAATCCACGGCTCAATGGTTAAGATGGAACTTTAGAAAGCAAGATCATTTTGTGTGGAAAGGATTGCCTTGCTATCTGGAAATGTGAACAGGAAATTATTGGGATGATTAGGGATGTCATCAGAGTATATTAATTAAAGTTTAGACTTCTGCATGGACAGGATGGATCGTACAATAGGAAGAACTGTACATTGCCCGGACATTCGGGGGACTTAAGAATGAAATGGTAGGTTGGGGTTCACAAAGCAGCCCATGCTGCAAAACCCACCCATCCAATCGAGCAATACTTTTTTTAAGGAGAAGACGATAGCATTTATTTACCATACTATCTAATGTGTTTTGAAATTGATTGACAATAATTGTCAATTATTATTATGACAAATCAAAGATGTTTGTACTGTCAGAGAATTTGCAAAATAAAATTAATATATGTTCAAATTTACCAAACTTTGTCAAAAATAGATAAATAAAAAAATACAATTGGCAACAGGTTGTTTTGTTTGTTATTTGTAAGTTAGAAACGTTAAGCACGTATTCATCCTGTGACTCAACCTGTAAAAATTCAAGCTGCACTCAGAATAGTAACTAGTCGGGAAAACATTGTTTCCCATTTGGCGTCGGGAAAATTGGAAATATAATTTCCCAATTTACCACGGAGGTATAGGGTTCAGGGGTTGTCGGTCGAGGTGGCAATTTAATGAACCGATGAACCGAAAGGGTCCCGTCTCAATATATCTATCAACGATTAATCCTCATCAAAGGAATATGTTCAAAGACCGCATGAACATCCCACGATGGAAACACGGAGTGAAAACTTCATGAAATCCCACATTTTTGTCATGGTGAGATAAGAAGTTGTTAAAAAGACCATCACAAAAATGAATTATGAATTGACGTTTTGATTGATCAGACAGACGACTTCATCTGACGTAATGAAACCCTAAGTTTTATCTTTATTTATCTTTTTTAAGTTTTATATGAATTTCATTACTAATTTGGTATATCAAACAATAAATAAATTTATTGAATATATTTATCTATTCAAATCTACATTCTCATTATTATGAAAAATGCAAGTAAAATATTTGACTCAGTTCTATATTTTTAGTTGTTGTAAATCTCTCCACTGTTGTTACAACTTCACATATAAATAATAGCGAAAAATTACAGATATAACAAATAAAAATGTTGTGAAAAATGAGTCAAATCTGATCTACAAAAACCTTCTTGGTAGCGAAGAAAGCAACAAGTAATATAAAGTTAATTAAATAAATTAAGTTATTCATCCGCTAAAGTAATTCTAAGCCTGAGACATTGATCAATATTATTGATGAAATTAAGCAGCCTAACACATGAGAATACTTCGATCTAAGGTTCGAAAATGAATGAGACGTGAAATATAATATAAAGATTTAAATTATTAATTGGCATGTCGCCTAAGTGAGAAATTTGCTTTCATTAGGGTGATTTAATTTTTACTGTTCGGCACTAACCGAAAGAAAATGAAAAACCCAGATTTAATACTTCAAAATTGGCGAAAAGGGTGACCAAAAGGATCGGAAATGACCTAGTTATTGTGACGATTTTGTACTTTAAATGTTAACGTTTATATTCATAATAATCTTTTTTATTGACTTTTTAAAAGTACTGTATAGAAACAAAGTAAAATATAATAATGTAATCTTTTCATATATGGACTATGTAATTTTAAATACTTGTGCCAATGTAATTGTTTAAAGAAAACTCGCACAGATGTTATAATTAAAACGGAGGAAGAAATTATGATGGGACAAGTAGAGGCCCACGTTAAACTTTTAACTACGATAATTAATCAGTGAAGTAAGTTATAAGGGTTGTTTTAATTGGTGTTTAATCACCAGGCAAGTTGAAAATTTTTCACTCCCACATCCGCTTTTTAAGAAATTCGTTAACTTTTCGAATAAACGAGGAGGCCGGAATGTAAAAGCGTCCATGTAAAAGCATGAAAAGAACAATTCTTGTGATAAAAGTTAAATAATATTAACATGGTATTAGTATTTAAAAAAAAAACATTATAGACTATCATCCTGGCCTGGCCTGCCTATTCTAGCTCTTTTAATTTTTCAGACCCTCAACAATTACAAAAACAAGCCTAACATGTATAACACGATGTAGAAAAAAAAAACGAAAAAATTAAACATGCAAACCTTCTGTTAAAGCGTCTTAAAGTTAGTTTAAGTACCGCCTAATAAAATTTTTGTCCAATTGTACACATTGCTTTTGTAAAAAAAAAACGATAAAGTAATAATCTACTTACTTTTAAATCGTGCTCATGTTTTTTTTTTCATAAAACCAGCCCCCCGAGTGCTTAATTTCCCGTTATACTTGAAATACCATCGCAACAATAAATAAATAAATAAAATTATTTTAAAAGTCTTGTTGGATGATAAAGGGAGAAATTGCACCCATCACCCAAAGGTAAAGGTCCCGAGTTCGAATCCAGCGATCCTTCATTCTAACCCGACATACTTACAAATGGGCTTTTTTTGTCAAAAACACCGGCAACCCGAGGGTTGATATAACCTTTGCTGTTGCGAACTCTCGTAAAAGTAAAAAGTAAAAAAAAAAGAATTTCCTTTCATAGGATGGCTTAACGTCTAACTATCCGTTGTTGTCGCGGATGAATGGTCATACAACCTTACAATGCATTTTTTACACTATAATCTATTTAAAAAAACCTTGAGCTCTGCTGGGCTTCAAAACCCGAACCTCTACCTTTGCAAATATGAATCGAACGTCCTAACCACTCGGCCACCGCGAAATTAAAGTTAAGCTAAATAGTAAACGATGACGTCATCCAATATATAAAACATATTATATATTTATAATTAGAACAAATATTGATTACACTTTAAGCTTGAACATAAACGAAGGTCAATCGACCAATGGCTAAGCTTACATATACTTTTATAATATATTGTATAATATTTAGTAGTAAAATAATTTAATGTCAAAAGTGTTTGAAAATTTATCATAAGCATAAATAAATAATGTTGATTTTAAAGCAAAAAAATTAAATAAATCATAAAAATTGGTGATTATTTGGAGATCGTACGATGCGGTCTGGTGTGACGTAGGCTTAGAAAAACATTTTCTTTATCGTGCCAACGTTTCGATCTTTATTGAGATCATCTTCAGGGCCTGGGATTTATAAATATTGCTTATATTATACAAATACATGTAGGATGTGAAAA